TCTCTCTCTCTCTCCTCTCCTTCCTCCTCTCTCTCTCTCTCTCTCTCTCTCTCTCTCTCTCTCTCTCTCTCTCTCTCTCTCTCTCTCTCTCTCTCTTCTTCTTCTTCTTCTCTCATTTAGTTTTCGTCTTCCTTCCTTTCTTCGCGCCTTTGTATATTCTTTCAATCGTTTGCACGCTTATCGATCTTAACGCTCCTCTTCAACAAATTTAATCTATTTGTATTTTTGGTGAATTGTCATTTACTGCCATTTGTTTTACTTTTTCAATTTACTACGCTTTTCCAAATTTATCCTTCTATTAATATCTCCTTCTATTAATATTTTAATACAAAAGGTCCACTTATCGATTCAAGTGAATAATTCATGATCATTTGATGACGAAGAATTGATGATCTAAATTTCATTTTTATCTCACTTTTTATATTTATTGTTAAATTCATGAAAATGTAATCATGCTGTTATAATATATTCATTTCAGTTAGATATGACTATCTCTGTTATTTAAATTCGATGAATTTATTCAACAAATTTGTTTATTATAAATTCACCGTTTTTTCACGTGCATAAAATAACATTTTATACAGATAATGTATGTATAAATATCTTCTCGTTTAAAAAGTTATGAAACGTACATTCATACGTGTAGCAGTTACGTTCGTGACGTACAGCAAGATTCGAAATCAATTTGCAATTTGATAAACGCGAAATTAAGTCGCGCCGAGATCGCTCGGGCTAGTAAGATCGAGGAAAATGTCGCAATGATGAATGAGATTCGCGGGGCAATCGAGGCGAAATTCAACGATTAGACAGCGCGAAAATGGAGAACTGTGGAACTTGTAATAGGAAATTCTCTGTGGTGAAATTATACGGAGGAAGGAGTGCGTGTAATGTTGAAGCCAACGTATAGCGATGAATCTTCGTTTGGGATATACCAGTCGTATAAATTTCAACCGCGCGTTAGTCTATCAAGCAGGTGCGAAAATACTGAAACGCGATTGAACATTCTAAATTTACTTCGTAATATCGTCTATCGGATTTTAACGCAATACAGCTTTAAAAAAAAAAGCAGGGAAGTTAAAGGATTCTAGAAGATACTCTTCGCTGTTCTTTGATTAGCCACGTTCAAACATGCGGTACGTCCAATAATTCAATTAATGGCAAATTAGCGTCATATATAGCTTCAAAGCTTTGTCGTGTTAAATAAACAGGTTTATTAATTAAAATGAGACCGTCGATCTCGCGACAACTTACACGCGTCAGTACAATAGAGCGACATACAAACGTGACGAAACTCAATAATTTTGGTCGTGTGATTTTCTATATATTATCGTTAATGGATACACGATTAGTATAATGGAGGTTTATTAATATGTACGTCTGCGAGCGTTGTTTCCCGTTTTAAAACACGTATACACCGCGCTATCATGCGCGGGATGCGGGGTTTACAGATACCT